GAGGAACATATAATTTATTACATTAAGATAGTAATTTAAATTAGTGATGACAGAGGAATCATCAGGCTTGGTGTCATATTTTAGTACGTTAAAAGTTATTACAACACATAGGATAATCACCATGTCCTTCAGAATTAATTATTTTTGTATCATTTGAAAAATATAACAGCATCATGGTAATTTCATTTTTTTCATTTTGTATAGAAGAGCTCAATTCAATGATTTATAAGCATTATTCAAACTTCAATACAACTATACAACTTCAACTGCTTTAATCTCCAGTTCAGTATTTTAACACCCCTTCTTATGGCCGTGAAATTAAGTTATTGATTAGGTGATTTCTTACTACGGAGCTAGGCGGTAATTTTGTAGCTAACAATAAAAACATCTTTGAATATAATTTTGCAACGAATCTACATTGCGTCTTTAGGTCCTTGAAGCAAACGCTGGACGTCTTTCTTTAGAACATTAAAATATTCCAAATCAAACTGGCAGTCTTTGGCCACGTGGCATTGAAAAAACCTTGAAGGTGATTGAATCGCCCTCCCAAGATTAATGATGTGCTTATCTGCGCTGCGTTTTTAAGTCGGCCGCGCCCTTGAATGAAAGCGATCCTTCTCGCCTTCTCGCCTGGCCGCGGGACTTTGTCGCGGAACCTTGTCGCGGGACTTTGTCGCGGGACTTTGTCGCTGGTTGTTTGCGTGTTCGCGTGACTTGGAGAGAGCGACAGCTCTCCACAGCGACGACAGAAACGTACCGCCGCCGGGATAAACCGCTTTACACCGCCGTGTTATTAGCAGCCCAGATCGTGCTACGGGTGCAGTATCCGCGTTGCAAAGCTGCGTACGTTTTCCTGGTGATAACGAACCAAAGGGCGTATTCGGGTAAAAGACGGTTAAGTGTTAACTCACGAGGAAACGTTGCGTTGTTGGTGTAACGATAATGACATAATGTGGGTGTTTGGGGGCGAGGCGATTCTCTAAGTGGCCTCGAGCAAACCGAGTGGCGTAAATTGAGCAAAGTGGTTCGGACAGCTAAAAAAACTTTGCTTAATACGAGTGCTCTGTAATCAACCCTTAAAGTTTACAGCAAATTTTATCTCCAGAAAGGTTATTATGTGTAGTGACAAACGATAAATGATCAACACAAACCTCTTTATTTAATATTTTGCCTTTAAATTATCTCTTAATGAACTATTTATTTACACATCTGAAGAAAAAATAACATTAATATGCTGAGATATACGAATTGAAATTCATTACCGTGCATACACACAAGCTTTTTACGTTTTAATACTCCTCTTTCTGCTTTCTTATCGAAGTTTAGTTTCTTTTCTTGTACAGTTTGTGGGTTGCATCATATTAATTTTGCATTATGAATGTGTATTTCTCATTTATATTGACTGATATTCTGAACCTTTACTAGAATACTTCATCTCCTTACGAATGATGTATCTACAATCATTATGTAATGTTTCAATGATTTTCATCTGCACCCAGTAAAGTTCATACCCTTATATTTATAAATGTAAAAGAACAGTGCTCAATATTTGTGATCTGAAAGTTTCTGACAGCCTTCTTGCAAATGCTTGATGTTGTGAATTATGAGGAACATATTATTTCTTCTTTTATTTTTCTTATACCTTTCCGGACAAGTTACTGAATACCTCAGCTTTTGTGTTCAATAATAAATTGATTGATTTGATAGGAATCATAGACCTTGTACTGTGCGTCACATTCAAAATGTGAAAATACCAATACCTTTCTTGATACTCGCCCTGAAATCTACTACTTGGCATGCTTGTGCAACGACTTTGCGGGTGACATTATTATTTGCAAATTGTCATCATTATTTAAAGACTGAACATCAGACCTCCATATCTGACCATATTTTTTTCTCAATCCCATCAACAAATTAGCATGACTCTTTCCACCGGTAATATTTGGTCACCTATTAACATATTAGATATTAGTGATAATTTGGGAGATCAATAGGTAATAGTTTGTCTTTACTCCTACCGATACGATGTATGAGCTCAGATGATTTTGTGATGGTGTAAGCGGGCATCTTTTAATTGTGAATTATTAGGTGACCTAGTCAATAATCCAGCTGTAATATTTCAGAAATACCCGATAGCGCAGTAAAAAAATTCCTTTTAATCGATATATGAAAACTTTAATTTAATTAGTCACTAATTACATATTTTCTAACGTTTCAACAACAAAACTGAATACTACATTAATTTAGCATATCTCTCTCCTCCTACATTTGTCAAAGTTTTAATCTGTTATCCCCAATCCACCGATTCCAATCCAACTTAATATTCCGACGATACCATCTTATTTATTTTCAGTCCCAGTGTTTCAGAGGTAAATATGCATTAATACATGATTTCAAATACACTCGAGAATACAGAAAATGTCTGCAAATAGGTGGATAACTGGTCCGTTTGTTCAATAATTAAAGATGTTGTCATTGCCAACAATGTTTTTTAATTCAAAAGCAGCTTTCGATGGCTTAGCCATCATCAGTTGTCTGCTAGATGGAAGCCACAAAACGACTACCGAGTAGTCATTTTGTGGCTTCCATCTAGCAGACAACTGATGATGATGGCTAAGCCATCGAAAGCTGCTTTTGAATTAAAAAACATTGTTGGCAATGACAACATCTTTAATTATTTTAAAAATGCCAAAGATATCCTACCACAACACCGTTTGTTCAAGTTTGAATCTATTAACGACTCAAGTGAAAACATCTGCCTTAGAATATATTCCCGTCATGCCCCAATACAGATATCCAACAATCCCGTGTCCTGGACCCACAAAGACAAGGATATTAAATCTGTCAGATTTCTGACAGACACCCGACTGGCATGAAAACTCCATATCCTCTCTCGCTTAAATCTGGCACAAGCCACTCTCCGCGAATTATGTAATAGGGTAAAAGGATTTTTCTTCTCTAACTAACATTTGCCCAGTCTGGAATGTCGTAGCATGTTAATTCATTGATCATCTCCAAATCTTATATGATTTACGTGTAAGGAAGTTACAGAATGCAATTTTGAACTTAGCGAATCTGATTACACGAAACATATTCGCATATTCGACTGCATCGGAACGGGTACCAGCCAAACTTCATTCGAGGATGATTGCCTTACAATCAGGGCCACATGCCCTATGAGGTCGTAACATGTACTCTGTTTTTAAGAGTGCGTTTGGTCAGAATACTAAATGTGAAACTTCTGATCTATATTTAATAAATCCAGAATACTTCATTTCAATTTAATTTATTGTGGATTACTATGAACACTCTTATTATATTTTACACTTTCTTGATATTTCTCAAAGTTACGATGTATCATAAGATTATAGCATTAAAATCAAGGAGAAAATTTAATTATAGCATCAAAAAATGTTAAATTCTGTGGCATAATCTTTGAAAATGATATTATATTATTTTGTCTTGTATTTACGATAGTTTTGATCTGCAGCTTCTCATACAGACATCTATGTTTTGTTATGTACTGTTTCAATCATAAATGCTGTAAGGTTGGTGTTATTACCCTGGCAGTGTTTCTTTCCAATTATCGGATGACACAGACGTTAGTGATGTGTAAACACATATCATTTAGCGCTAGGGACATTTTGCACTCTCTAACGTTAAAACAATCGAAAGAACTATCCGTATTGAGCGCATGAGCAGTTCAAGGTTCGCATCACTGTTTTGTGCACCTACGCATGCGCAGAAGATAGATGCAGTCTGATACGGCGTGCAAAATCTCCCTATTGCAAGTGTCGTCCGATATTGGCAAGAGGCACTCCCGATTTAAACAAAGTGATACTTGAAGGTCAGGAGCTGGACGGAGAGGGAGCACTGTCATCCAATGAGGAGCTTCGTTACGCGTTGAATTTTTGGTACTGGAGACCCCGATTGGATGAAAACGTTCACCTCTCCTTCCAGCTCGTGATCTTGCAGTGGCACGGAGTAATTGGAGAGTAAGAGGGCGGCAAATACTATATAGAGACAATACAGGACACTTCCCTGTTCTTCCACGCAACCGATGGAAACAAGTTCCCACTATCGCTCCTAGTGTCAGAACCTGGTACTTCAGAGCCAAATGAAGACATCAATATGATTCTTACGGAAGAAATACAGTTTTTTAAAATTCACCTCACGAAATAAGACTCATTTTTGCCTAGTTTTCTTATGACTTAATTGGCTTAAATTACGGAAAATAATAATGTACAAAAGATGTGTTTTACATATACCAAGAATAAAATGGTTACAAATGCAAGATTTCTCTTGCCTTAACACTTCCAATGATACATTTGGTATTTTTTTGGTATTTGCTTTCTTCAAAAAGCACTGTATTAATACATTGATACCTCTGGTCACATACAAATTAGTACACTCCTCACATAGAATATTTTCCAATTGAATATTAATGACTTACATTAATTGTTGTTTGACCTCAAGTTTACTGTGACATAATCAATTTATTTTTTATCAAAAACATACTTAATATTAGAAAACAAACTAATAACTAATTCATTTTGGTAGAAAAGAGTGGCATTCACATACTGCTTAGTCAGAATACGCGAGTTTCTTAATTTATGGTTTTCATCTACTACATTCGATAAACTATTTTCACCTGAAAAACGAACGCAAGTTCTTTAGAATTTCATAATTAAAACAGCAAAAAACTGCACAAATGTTTTCCTGCCATAAGGAAGGATGCCAAGAACAGTATTGTGAAATAAGTTTTCCAGAAATTAGCCAGGAAGACAAATTTTAAAAAATCGAGCAGAAAACAAACACCAACAGAGCACTGAGCTTAGGCTGTATTAGTTTTCACCAGGTTCTGCCACTAGATGAAGCTGGCATGAGTGTTTCTTTATGTATCGCTAAGTGTCGTGTATTGTCTCTCTAGTATTTGGCGCGGTGCGTTGGCAATCCTGACGAGTGGTGTGTTGTGTGTGCGCAGCCGGGCGCCTCCGGTGATGGAGAGGCTCCCCGGCGCCCTCCGAGCGGACGACAGCAGCGGGGGCGGTGGCCTCGGCAGCGGCGGCGGCGGCCGGCGCCAGCGGCCAGCGGTCGCGGGGCAGGGCGCCTTCGAGCGGGGACGGTCGCGGCGGCGGCGCGCGCCCCGGCGGGCGCGCGGCGCGCGCGGCCGGGCGGCGCGGGCAGGACGACGCCTTCGTGGGAAAAGGCGCGTGGCGCCGGACGTGGACGGCCCCAACGCTACGCTCGACGCGCTCTCCGCGGCGGCGGCGGCCAACGCCAGCCTCAACGGCTCCGCGCCGGGCCTGGGCGCGGCCAAGGGCTTCTGCCTCGAGTGGGAGGCCGCCCAGCACAACCTCTTCCAGACGGCCAACCTCTTCTTCGCGGCCGCCTTCCTGGTGCCGCGCAGCTTCAAGCAGAGCCTGCTGCTCCTCAGGTGAGTGCTGCCGCGTTAGGCCGGCCGTCGCTCGATAGGCCTGGGCTTCACGCATCCTGCTAATCATTGGCATGCTAATCAAGGCTTAGAGCTAATCATTGGCCCCAAGCATCAGGCAAGGAGTCCGACCGTCGGTCGAGTAGCGTCATAGGCTGGACTTCACGCATCAGGCAAGGTCTTCCTGCTAATCATTGGCCTGCTAATCATTGGCCTGCTAATCAAGGCTTGAGGCTTATCATTGGCCCCAAGCATCAGACAAGGCGTCCTTCGACCGTCGCTCGAGTAGCGTCATAGGCCTGGGCTTCACGCATCAGACAAGGCCTTCCTCCTAAGCATTGGCCTGCTAATCAAGGCGTGGGGCTAATCATTGGCCCCAAGCATCAGACAAGGCATGGGGATGAGACAAACTACAAGTAACCAGAACAACGAACGCAACACCGGACCGGAGAGGGATTTCCATTAGGGAGATACAACCAGGTGCTGGAGTGAGCCAGCGTCGCTAACCATAGTTGGGTCACATGACATACCAAGTCACATGGTTCGGCCCTTTGTGAGATTGTAAGAGAGTGTCATGAAGCCACTAGCAGGTAACGCATTTTGATATACTGAGAGCACTCGCACAACAACACCAAATAATGAACAAGTGATTGCAAATTAGCGTTCATTCTATAAATTTTAAGGTATTATTAATATAAAGAATTTATACAATAAAAACTGTTTATAACAGCAAGTCATTAGACCTAGTACCTACTACATTTCAACCAGAGGAAAAATAAAAATATTTGTGTAATACAGCAAAAACGTTCCGCCCCAGACTGGCGTGGAGTCGTTGTGTGCACAAGGTACTCCGATGAGTTCCAGCTCGTTTGAGTGGTTCTCGGTCACTGTAGGGCAGAGGGTGTAACTTCTAGGGCACGGCAGATGCCGAGTCGCGGGTAGACGGAGATGGATGGCGTCCCCGCAAGGCGTGTGTAGGGAGGAAGGGGTTTTGAAAGGAGTTAGCTCCAACAAACGCTTCAAAGTGGATGAAAATCGTTTTGTAAATATCTAACTCGTGTCTGTGTTATTGTGGTGTATATCCCTACCCACAATGTCACACCCGCTTGAGCCCTCTCAATAACAAATTTCTATACTGGGCAGATATCGTTTAGATAATTAGTTTAACTCCCATCTTACAGAATGAAGGTTTGGAATCCCGTCAATATATACTATCTGTGAAAATATCTACAGAAACGATACATTTCGGCTTTCATTCTTAAAAATCTTGCGATCTTAGTTTCCTTCACTAGAACCTTACACTTACTTACTTACTTACGCGTGCCAGATGACGAAACAACTGATTTTGATATACTGATTGCACTAGCACAGCAACACCAAATAATTAATAAGTTATTGTAAATTAGCGTTCATTCTATAAATTTTAAGGTATTAATAATATTAAGAGTTTATACAATAAAAACGGTTTATAACAGCAAGTCATAAGACACCTCGTACCTACTACATTTCAACCAGAGAAAAAAAAATGTAATAGGAAAGAACAAAAGACTCAATAGAAGCCTTTAATATTTTAAATATATAGATATGTTGAGTGTATATTTGTAATAAAATTGCGTTTCTTTTCACTCTCTGGCTTGTATATCTACAGAAACTTTTGTCTTAAAGCAATATGTGGATTATTATTTACAACCTTTTTATCGAAATAATAATTGCAATACGGGAATCACATTATATTAAATTATTTATTGTAGAATATATTGAAAAATAATATCACATATATTAGCCTCCCAAATATATTTCTATGGATTTTGGATAAAATAATCTAAAATAAAACTACTAATTGAAAAGGGTATTATAAAATTTTTATCTTCCGCAAAAATCATCTATGTAAAATAATACACAACCTTACGAAAGTAAACAAAAACACATCTGACAGACTTTTACCATATATCGTGTGTCTCAATAATTGTAACAAATAAATATCCGGATTCGGTGTAGCGTTAGGATATACGTCATAGTAAATTCCAAAATATCCTTTTAACATTCGGACTGTGGAACGTCACGAAGTCAAGACTATTAATCTTCAGCAAAAGGCCATGAATATTTAAAGCGTTGTTTTCCGTAGTTCCAATAGCCAATGGGAGGAAGAGCACAGCCGGAACATGAAGGCACAAAACAGGAATAAATAGGAACGGCGAACAAAAGATTCTTCCAACACTGCACTCAATACGCCTTTATTTAGAACACAATATTGTATAAAAACATTTGTATAGTATCTCACGTCTCTAATGAAAAATTTTTCGCCTCTGTAGAGCAATATTGTTTTGGTTGATTGAAATGAACAGTATTGTGAAAACGGATTGAGTTTCTTTCTCTTGATTATATTGTATATTCCACATTCTTTATATCGGATTTTCATGTGTATTTTATCGTACGGCAAAAAATATTTATACATTAATATTTTTCTCATTATTAAGGGAATTAAATTTTGTGAATAAAAATTTATTTAGATATATTGAATTAAGATATATGAATGTTACTTTTTCCGTACATCTTTTTATCCAGTCGATTTACTTTTTCTAAATAAGCTTGTTTTAATTTTACGCATTATTTTTTGATAATTGTATTAGATTGTCATTTTTTTAATTTATTTATTTAATAGGTAATTATTACAAACAAATTAGCTTACTTGATCCTATGTGGCTAGGCCGAAGGCCTTTAAGCCATCATAATACCTATATCCTTTCGCGTTCTAATCTTTCGAATTCTGGTACTCACCCCAAATGGTCTCTCCATCGCATCAAAGCCGCGGAAAAGAGACCATAAGGTACGGTCAATTTTTGTCAATTTTTGAACTACAGTTCATCGTTCATGGACAATGTTAGAAACAATAATATTAGAAACTAACTACTAAAGATGCTCAGGAAGGGTTCTTAAGAAAAATACACAAAATATTTGGAGTACAAAATACAATTTGAATTTAGAAATATGTCATTCATGACGTTGACAATAGGCACGCGGGAGTGTTTATTAACTTAAAAACATTACAAATAAATTACATTTCCCCCTAGATGAATTCTTATTGATATTCTTCACTGGTTTTTCTAACAGTAGTCGCTACTCTTCAATTAATATATCATACAATGTTTCCTCATTTACTATAGTTTTTTTCATTTAACTGTCATTTTAAATTAAAGTAATTAAGTGAAGACATCAACAACGTATTTTCTAAAATGTATATCAATTTTCATAGGCATACACAGCCTAAAACACGAGGAAGCAACTTCATATCTATCCCACGTTTCCCTTAAACACTTTGTTAAATAATACGCACTATTTTACCAGTAAATAAATGAAACGTATTCAAGGATAATTAAATTCTAATTTAAAAATACAAATAAATACACTGATTTAATACTAAACATTGACACTGTTGACAGATGATCCTGTTCTCCAAACAAGATTGAACGTATTTAAATAAATGAAAGGTTTTAGTACCTAAGGCGACGGAGCCGCTTCTAAAGTTTTAGGAGGGCCACGGTCTTTCCTCCCACCTCCACACCCCCGAAGTGCACACGTCTATATCTCTAATTGTTATGAGCTTCTCTTTATGCAACAATTTTCTTATATATCGGATTAGTGCCATACGAGAGTTTTGACATTTAGCAAACTCAACATTAAGAGCGAGGCCGGGTAGGTTTTAATTCTCGCAGATGAAATAGAATGAAGACTAAGAAATATTTTGAAATATTTTTACCAACTCTGTCATGTGTATCAAAGTCCCGTGATAGCATGTCAATGTAACAAACAGTTTCATAATATATTAACAGTGCATACGGTAACTCATCTGGCACATGAAGAATATTTGTTAACATACGAGTAATATAGCGAGGGGAAACTTACCAGCGAAATCTGTAAGAATAAATGTATTGAATGTTTCCTCTTAGACTATTGTATAATCCAAGTGAATTTAAATTTATGATTTGAGATGGCACAGGACACCGACTAATGTCACTACTGGACATCTGACTGGGAGGTCCTAGGTATGTGTCTCGACTATGGCAGGATTTTCGACACTAAGCTTGTCTGCTAGGTCGAATTCAGCCGCTGTCTGAAGGAGAATTCTAGCGGCCGGCTGCTCTGACAGGTAGTTTCCCGTGGTTTCTCCGATCAGCACCAGTCGAATGCCAGAGCAGTGCCCTAACAAACTAGTCACGGACCGCGCGCGATATTTCCTTCCTCTTCCTTGTCCTATCCTCACTCACTATGAACTCACACTTACACTTACATGCACTAAACTTCCAGACATGCCGGGAGACCGATTGGGAGCTTAGAGCTTGTCCCGACTAGATCAGTGTCTCACTGGTGGGAGATACAGTTATACTATTTGAATGAATTTTAATTTTATTTTACTCGTCATTTTAAAAAAAATGTTTATTTTGACGAAATTTATACGATTTTTTTAGCAGAAATGCGACGTTAATAATGAATGTTGGTTTCTCGAATTGTAAACATTCAATGACCCATTTTCTGCTCACGTTGGCTCGAAATGAACCCTCTCCATTCAGAGTACAGATTACGTTCGTCTGAAAACATTGACCAAATACCACTCATCTCTGGTTAGGGAAAACCCCGCTAGCCGTCGGTAGGTTGGCGCCGGATCTCGCCGACATGGGAAGACCGGTGTCACCTCCCGCTAAAAACGTGCACTACCCTCTCGAGATTAATAGCCTTAGTAGTTGTCGCGCCCTGAATCACAATCAATTAATCATGTACACGTAAGCTTCCGCGGCCTGAGTTCATGACTTTTTGGCTGTCCGGGTGACGCCGCGTCGTTGGCTGAGAGGCCAGTGATGCTGTGAGGCCTGTCAGCTAACAAGAACTCAATCAATCAATCAATCAATCATTGAAGTAAATTCTGTTGTAAACATTTTTATATTTTCTTTCAATTACAAATGAGAAAATGCACACTAAATAAGGACTTAAAAGCGATAAAAAATGTG